AGGGGTGAGCGTGCCATTTGGTGACAATGACAGCATTAATTACCCAAGGGACAGAGACACGTAGCCCCTCATAGTACTTTTTCCCATTAGGGAGGTGGGGGCTTTCCCCCTCTTTTCTGGTTGAGAGCACTGATGACAGGAGGCTTTGCCTTTTCTTGTTCAGCAACTCCTGCTTTTGTCCTGTGCTTCCCCCTAAGACCTCCTCCCACCTAGCCTTGGCCTTGTGAAAGGAATAGCTGCGTGGTGGGTTGCCCTACCACGTACACCCATGCTCCTTGTTGCCCTCCATTTCCAGGCCCTCGATTTCAGGGCAGCCCATTCTCCTCTGGACTCACTTAAAATACAAAAACACCCAACCCCACGTCTTTGGCCAGTAATGTCAGTTGTCCATGGGTTGCGTGTATGAAGCCTTTATAAATGGTTACTTTCTACATGCTCTGGGGAAGCATTTATCAGACTCTGCACAGTGATTTTGAGAGGGACGGAGTCTTCGAGAGTATTTCTGTTGGAAGGTGGAGCTTTACCCAAAGTGGGAATCAGCCTTGCTCAAAGCTAGGTGGTAGACGGGACACTCCTAGCAGTGGTTCTCCATTCAGCATTTTTAAACCCGTTCAGGTTATATCGTCCTAAAAAGCATTGGTTTCTGTGTTTACATGAAACAGTAGGTTGAATTTCGATGATCTGTTTTAAGGATTTTCATGACAGCCTCTTTTCCTGAGACGGAGAGATTGGAGGTAATCCACCCGCTAAATGTGGAATCTAACTGTGGGTTCTCGGTAGCTGAAGAAGCCATGTACTATATAGTCTGTTTCTCAGAGTATCAGCTCACATTCTTCAGATGCTTTTCTTTTTTTAATGGTGAGGGAAAAGGTGTGATTTGGGATTCCACAGTGCCTTGCATATAGTAGGCGCCCAATAATTATTTGTTGAAGCAAACCAAGTTTCCCAAGTCCTTGCCTCTTGCAGTGACCAAGAACATCTTTCTCCTCTGAAGGGCTTGGCAGTTGTGGCTAAAAAATAAGCAGTATCATTATTTGCTTGAAATCATATATACGATTTGTATGAATTTCTGTATGTTGCCAAGACATGATCTTTTTCTTATTGTATTTTCTGTAAATATTTCTGGCACTGAACTGTAAAGTAAAGGCAAAATGTAAATACGAAGGTGTACCCGTGTCCCCTCGCCTCCTGTGTTTTCTCTTCGTCAGTTAGGGAAGAAGGCCCAGAGGCTTGTTTGTATTTATGCCGATCCTTTGTCCAGAAGAAACCCATGGAATATTGAATGTAATACATTTAGTCAATTAAATTTTAAGGAGATTCTTATCTAATAATGTTTTGTGTGCTTTTGGTTACAGGCTGAAGTTTGACTCCTGCAGTGGGTGTTTCTAATTTACTGTTTCCAGGGTGTGCGTGCTCTGCTTTGGCTGACCGTCGTGATTTAGATCTGTGCGTTTTTACTCTGGTTTTGTAGAAATTACACAGAATACTCAAAATTAGATTAATTCTTTAAAAAATTTTTAGTTGGATTATAATTCACATACCGTCTTAGTTTCAGGGCATACCATAATGAGTCGCTGTTTTTACACACTATGAATTGATCACCTCGATGGGTGTAGTTACTCTCTGTCACTGTACAGAGTTACCACAGAGCTTGTGCAGCGGAAGCCCGGCCGACAGAAGCCCCACCGTACAGGGGCTCGTGTTCACCGAGGGCCCGGCCGGCTGTGTTGTAGGAACACAGAAATGCCGGCCACGCCCTCTGACTGCCGAAGATCTGGGCTCTGCCAGGGCTAGCAGTCAGGAAAGGGGAGAGACGCAGAGGAAGTCACCCCCCCGCCGTCACCCGCCGTCCCTGTGAGGAGGGTTGGTTACAGAGGGTTCCATGCAGCCCGATTAGCACCTTCCCGCCTAGCTCCATGTGGGAGGTTGTACACCACCACCGCCAAGAGCCGCCCTTCCAGCCTGGCACTGACTCGACCGGACGTGGACGTGAAGGTGACCCCCCCCCCCCCCCGCCCCGAACTGTTCCTGGAAGCCAGGGCTGGGAGCTGCCTTCCCTGCAGTTGTGTGTCCGTGCTTGCTCTGCCCTCAGGACTCCGGCTGGTCCTTTGTGGCCAGGGAAGTGTCTCCTTGGGCTGATGGCACAGTGGTCCTATTTTGGGCTCTGGCAAGAAAATGTGTATTCAAGCCTTTCCCACCAGTGCCACTCAGCCCTTTGTGACCCCAGTCCCTTCAGGACCCACTGCCAAGAGATTCCCCCTCGACCCCCAACCTCAACCCAGACCACTCCTGGTCTTGGCCTCTGGACTCTGAGTGGCACAGCCTGCCAAGGCACTGTTTTTCTTAGACACACATTCTAATGCCATCCACCCAGGCCTCCTCCCCTGGGGACTCCAGTCATCCCAACACTAGGCTAAAACGGTCTCTCAACCACTGGCTTCCGAGCTCCAGCTCTCCCGTCCCCTGCCCTGTCTTGCCACCCGTTCCCTATTTTTCTGTGGCTGGCTCCGCTTGCCTTTCTCCCTGAGCCAGTGTCTTCCTTCCTCTTAGGGGCATCCTTCCGCCCCGTATCTCCCCCAGGTCTACCACCCACTTCTCGCATCTGCTCTCCCAGCCTGGAACTGGGTCTGCCTGACCTTCCAACCCGTGCTCCGTGAGTTGCTGTGATGCCAAAATCTGGGCCGCATCAGACTGGTTGCTCCTGAACATGTTGCGTCCTGGGCCTCACCTGGAGTTTCTGACTCAGAGCAAGGGGAGCGTAGGAATTGGTGTGTTTCAGGGCACTTGCCCGTAGTAACTGGGGCAGCTGGCCCAGGACCCTCTTGGACAGGGCAATGCTTGTGCCTCCCTCCCCTCCACAGGCAGCAGCCATTCTGCCTGTGAGCTTCCCATACTCGTCAGGCACCCCGTCTGGCCAGTCTCACTCCAGTGCCGGGATTTGGGGCCCTGGAGGTCCAGAGCCTCCTTCCTGCCACAGGGCTTTGCACAGGGAGGTGTACGAACTACTTCCCGAATGAATGAATGACAGAAGAGGTGGGAAGAGAGAAGAATGACTTCTGAGAGTCATCTGTGCACCTGGGACACAAAGAAGCAAGGCCGACGCCTTAGAAGCCCCTCACTGAAAACTCTAATGAGAGGTGCAAAAGCTTCTAGATTAGTCATTTATTGAGGACCTATTGTGTGTTAGAATGGTTTTAAATGGCAGCCCAGTGACCCAGGCTGGCTCGGCAGACTTGTTTGGTTTAGCCAACCGTGTTTTAAATGCTTGACGCAACATTTTTAAGTTGGGAGAGTTCACATAAAAATGCAGATTTGGGGGGGCTCTCTTGGAATAGATGTGGCAATACTGGACCTGCCTTTCCCACACAGCACTTAACTGCCTGAAGTTGTGACAGCTGCCTGCTTTAGATGCACCACGTTCCACCCAGTCTGCCACCCCCCCCACCCCCCCACTGCCAGCAGGTGCAGATGTGGGCACCTGTAGCCCGGATGACAGGGCCTGGGATCTGGCTGGCTCCTGAAGGAACCTGTGACCTCAAAATACATGAACACCCACCCGAGGGCGATGCTCATCCCATCGTTTATTCTGATTTTTAGCAGCTTGGTGAGATGAGAAATGTCTCCATCTTCTAAGAGGATGCAAGGAGGTGTCCCATGAACCCCTAGGATCTCAGCAGGAATTCAAACCCAAGTCGGCCTGCCTGGAAGCCTGGGCTTTTGTTCTTAGCCAGACTGTCTCCACTGCCACTGACTGCCAAGCTCTCCTTGTGTCTGAAGGACGTTGTGACTTCCTTGTTACGTCACCCACTCAGTCACAGTTGGGCTGAGAGCAGAGTGTGGCCCGGCCCCCCAGGTCCCCAGGGCAGCCCTGCCAGCCCGGCACAGGCAGGCCCGGCTTAGCCACACGCGCACCATGAAGTACCCGCTGGTGCCACTGGTGGACGACCTCACGTTTTCTTTCCTGGTGTTCTGGCTCTGCCTGCCCGTGGGCTTGCTGTTGGTCTTGCTGATCGTCTGGCTACGCTTCTTAGCCAAGGTGAGCTGCTCTGCAGGGACCCTGATCCTGGAGCCTGGTAGGGGGTCCCGAAGCAACCGCAGAGACCAGTTTCCTTCTTGGGCTTTAACTGCTGGGCTGGCTGAGACGAGCAGTCGCCTGTAGGGGAAAAGGATTAATCGAGTGGTTTGGTTTCTCGACCTAGAGGCCAAGAGTGAGTCCCCAAGTTTGGAAGCAGTATGTGCGTGTGCACACCTGTGTCCCCTCAGGGCCGCTGCTAGCACAGAAGGTCTTTGGTACAAATCAGAAATAGGTGGCCCCTATGGGCAGATGAAGTAGGGAAAGGGGCCCTCTCCTGCGGGTATAGCCAGGGCACAAGGCTGGGGGAAGATTTCAGCCCCTGCTGCTCCCTCAGCTGGGTGCTTTTGTGCAGTAAACAACTTAAGACGATGGGACATGGCAGCCCTAAGCCTTTATTAGGTGCCCAGGGACCACTCACACTGCTTTCTGCCCGGACTGTACCTCAGGGAGGATCTGGATTCTCTGGGACGCCAGATCACGGAGGCTGACACTTTGCCCTGAGCTCAGTATGTCACCGAGAGAAACAGAAGGCGGGGTGAAGCTGGCCATGAGGGAAGTTGGGGGCCGGTGGCAGGGGTCACCCTCTGCTCCTCAGGTGTCCTGGCTCCCTGGGCACTCCCTTCTCCAGGGGGCCTCTTCCTAGGGAACTCTTGCCCTCCCACCTCCTGCTCCAGAATTCCATGACCTTTGGCCCGCTGAGGAGGGAGGGTACTGATCGGCTGCCAGCTCTGGTCAGACGGTATTGAGACCGGGGAAGCAGTTCACCCCCAAACCCTCCCCAGGAGCTCAGATGTGGGGTGCTGGTAATGGTGTAATTATTGGGAGTTCCTGGCAAGAGCTTCCAGAAAATGTCTATTTACATTCTCATATTCCCGGGACGGACCGCAGCCCTCCCTGAGGGACGAAACGTCAGGCAGCGGGCTGGTGGCTGGTGGGAGTCAGAGCACTTGTCTGTGTGGCTAGAAATGCCGTCTCTCTCGAGTCGAGGAAACGTGGGCTCAGATTTTAGCCTTGCCCCTGAATAGTTCATCATAATTGCTAACCTTTTCTCTACCCTGTGCAAAGGCTTGTGGTAAACACTGATGTGCATAATTTCATTTAATCCTCAGAATAACCCTGCGAAGTAATCCTTATCGTACAATTGAGGAAACTGAGGCTTGGGGAGAGAAGCAACGTGCCCAGGTCACACACCTGTGAAGTACTTACGAGTGCCGGTTATCTGGCGTCACCTCCTGCCTCTGCTGCCTACCAGCTCTGTGACTGGGGCAAGTCCTCTCAGCCTTGGGTTCCTCATCGACAGAATGGAGATAATAAGGGCCCCTTCCATTTGGGGCTGTGGAGAGAGCATGTCGAGGGTAGGGCATCCAGTACATGTACACACGTGGCACATAGTAGGTGCTTATAGGCTGAGAAATTATCCAGTCAGTGTTTGCTTTTCGTCATGGTAGGAGGACGTATAGGCATGGCTTTGGATGGCTCCTCCGAGGAGACACCTTACCTAAGGTCTAGGGCACTAATCTCCAGCACTCCATTCTCCTTGAAGGCCCTGCTCTAAAACCATCCACAGCCTTCCCTGTCCTCAGACTTTCTCCGACATCTCACACGGCCCCTTGCAATAAGGCCTTTGGTCATTTGCAATGACCGGAATGTGGGGCGAGCAGTCTTCCCTCAGGGTCCCAGTCTTCTTGGAACTCTTAGAGTTACTGCATCGGTCCTGTCCTTGTGCCAGGTCTGGGCCTGCCAAGAATTGAGGGACCTGTTCTCAGGACACCCTGGCCTGTGCTCTTCTATTCTGCTGTGGATCTTGTTATTGGAACTCGTTTGGCCTGGCATCCAGTGTGAAAAGCAGACAGGACTGGCTCTGATTCCTCCTCCCCTCCCCCCCCCCCATCCGGCCTGGCTCAGCAGGGCAGTGCCAGGGCCCAGAAGGCAGACAGTTTGAGCAGGGAGTGCCACGTGGCCCGTGAGGACGTGCCTTCTCAAGTAGACAGGGGAGCAAGGGGAGGAGAAGGGAACCGCCTGGCAAGATGGCCGTTGAGGCAAGAAAATGTTGTGGGTGGCTGAGCCCTGCAGAAGCTGGCCAGTGGGGACAACACTAATCCTGGACCATGACATTAAGAGAGAGGATGAAGCCACATGGTGCCCTTCAAGCGGAAGGTGCTCTGCTGAGGACGTTTCCTTTGTGATTGGAAAGGACTTTGCAGAAGGAAGAAGAGAAACCTCCAAAGAGATGGATTTAAGGCCGAAATGCGCCTATTGAGGGTCCTGCCCACCCTCGTGGTGGTCCTCGGAGCGAGGTGTTACATCCAAAGCTACCTTTGAATTCCCTGACCTCAAACAAGTGCACCTGCTGGAACTGCGGAGGGCTCTCTTCAGCCTCCTTTACTTTTCTGCAACCAGCGAAACATCTTACAAGTACAGGAAGAGAAAGAATCTCCCCCATCTCCTCTCCTTTCTCCTCGACCTCACCTTCTCGAGACAAGCCGTGTTCACAAGCTCATGCTCCTCTTTAATAACACACGTAGGTTTTCCAAAAAATTGGAGAGGGGGCAGGATTGTTAGCTTGGTTTTCAGAAAAAGGGAGGAGATCCTCCTATATACATTTCTCTGAAACTTGCTTGTAATGTATCCTAGACCTCCTGCAAGTCGCAAGCTACAGATTTCATGCAATTGTTTTAACAGCTTCTGACTTGCTATTGGATAGATGGGCCAGCTCTTTATGCGGTGCAATGTGCTACACTTCAGTCAACCAGACCTCTCATGATAGACACACACACACACACACACACACACAGTTTCCAGGGTGTTTTATTACTTGTGCATGCTTCACCACAAAACAGTGCTGCAGTGGAAATCATTGCATGTATACACTCAGATATTTGTTAATAAATGGACTGGTGGACAAATGGATGGATGGGTCGTTGTTGGATTTGTGTCTCCTCAGTGCCGTTCTTAGACCACACCCAATACAGGTAGGTCATTTGCTCGCCTCTAGGGCCCTTCCCTATTTATTAGGTAGATCTAGCCACCTTCTGAGTCATAGACAACTTTTTTGGTCCCTGGTCACCTACAAGGTCCTGAAGTCTTCCTGAGATCTCTGGGCTGTCCCATATGTCATGATTCTGCCTTGGCCCCTCGGTCTCGGGGATGCCCAGGCCTGGCAAGGGGCTCCTTTTGGGTCAGGGGTAGGAGATAGGATGTAACCACCCAAGAGGCCTTGTCTTGTACCTCCACAGATTCAGAGGAAGACGACTCAGATTTATGCTTTAGTGGGAGCCCTGGAGCAAAGGCCCAGCCCAGTTTTGCTGGGAGGGGACACTGTATAGCCAAGAGGAGGAGGAGCCCTGCTGGTGAGCCTTTTCAGCCAGGTGAGACCTTTCTGGGGGCAGGTAGGGGGAGCCTCAGGTCCTACCCAAAGCCTAGGGCAGCTGCTGTGTTGGAGGTCTGTTTCCTCCACCACACTGGAGAGCTGATTTTCTCCTCCATGTTGGGGAACCCTCTGCGTCATTCTCTTGGAGACCTGTTTTTGCCATGTTGGAGGACCAGCCTCTTCTGCCATGAAGAGTTCCTTTACAAAGATCCCCTACCCTTTACCTGCGTGACCTCACCCCCCACCACCCTCCTTAGGGTCTTTGCACTGGCTATTCCCTCTGCCTGGAACTCTTTTCCCCCACATCCACTTGGTGCACTCCCTCATCTCTGAGGTTGAGCTCAAATGTCCCCCTTACTCCACTCTAGACTGTCTTCTGTGATAGCACTTATCACCTTCTGACCTGCTCAATAATTGATGCATCCAAATCCAGAGCACTCCCGGCCACGCCTGACACACAATGGGGGATCACTAGATACTTGTAGAAGGAATGACACGACAGTGATGATGATGATGGCTGATACTCAGTGGATGCCTTCATAGCTACCAGGGCCTTTGCCAAGCATTTCCCTTTCACAAGCTCATTAATGAAATCCTATGAGGAGGATATTATTCTTGCCTCCATTTTGCAAATGACCCTAATCGGCAGTGGAGTTGAGCGATTTGCCTGAAGTACCAGGGCTCTGGCACCTGGAAGCCCGGAAAGGTCTCATCCATTCCAGTGGAGTTCAATGCCATCCCTGTGCCAACGACGCCGACGCTCTCACCTTCCTTCTCAGCTCTATTAGCTGCTAGACACATTTTCCTGGCTAGAATGGGAGTCTTGATTCCCTTGGCTACCCAACAAAGCAAAACACAGCATCCGCTCTTCTTCCAGCTCCTCTCCATCTCCATGAACAGCCAGCGCCTCCATGGATTGGTCTCATTCCTTGAGCCGTAAATGCAGGGGCCAGCTTTTACACCTTCTTTTCTTTTCAGCCCATATCCAGTCCACCAGTATGTCCTAGACTCTGTCTCTCACACATCCACTTCTCTCCGTTCCCACAGTCACGTGGCCTACCCTATTCCCAAGTCAGCTGATGCAACCTGTCACTAATCCACAACGTAGGTCGCAATGTGGAGCCCCTGGCTGTCTGAGTAGAGAACGGAGGTGGGGTGAGAAGCAGCGACCCTCGCTTAACCTCGGTTACGCCGATTCTTAGCTTTTGTGGGTCATGACCTTGACAGTTGAGCGTGCTTTCCCTGGAAACACACACACACACACACACACACACACACACACACTCACACACGTGCATGCACTCGAGTTTTGTGTTCAGGGCCAGCTTCACGGGTGGCAACCTGTGTAGTCCCATGAAGTCCCATGTTCAGAAGAGCCTCATGCTTGGTTTAATGTTCTGCTGTTACTTGTCTTAAAATTCTTAATTTTTGAATGAGGGTCCCCTCAGGTTCATTTTTTAGTGGGCCCACAAATAATGTAGCCTGACCTCTTTGTGTATAATTAGTGGGGTAAGAAAAGGAGATTTTTTTTGGGGGGGGGGACTCTGCTCAAGAATCCATTTATATAGAACCCACCCCACTGGGTATCTGTTGTTCTCTCTCACTCTTTCATTCCATTGTCACCCCTAGAGCCAACCTTCCATGTTTCTCCAGCCTGGTTTTCCTGGAGTCAGCAGGGTGGTGGCAGTGGCCAAGGTGGATGGGAGAGACCCACTGGGGAGGGAAGAAGACTGCCAAGGGAGGCTCTTCCCTGGGATCCCCGACTCATCTCCTCCATCAGTGGACACACAAAAGCCTCCAAAGGACCCTGCTCTTCGCCCACTACAGACGACCTCCCAGGGTCCCCGGGGAGGAGCCCGAGTCCGTGAAGACGGTATAAGCAGGCACAAGGGGAGAAGTTGGCCAACTGAATTTAGAGGAAGTCCTAGGACAGGGCCGGGCCAGAAGGTGTAGGTCCGTGTTAAAGAAACAATGAAGGTTCCTGTGCTCAGGAGAACCCCTGACAAACCTGCTGGGCCTGGCCAAATCCATTCACTTAACAAGCCGTGGGGCCTGGGCCTAACCCCTGGCACTGATTTAAACTGTCCTTGATCTTCTTCGGGACTCCCTGACTCTCTCCCATCTGGTCAAGGGACTGGGGGAATCTTGCTTTCAACTTCCTTTCTCTAATTTCAAACTCACTCCTTGATTCGCCTTTAGGTTGATTTTAATAACAAATAATTCATTTTATGAATATCTACAGAGTATTTACCATATGCCTGGTTATGATAAAAAAAAATAGCTCACATTTTTTTTTTTTAAATAGCTCACATTTTAACAAGCACTCACTGTGTACCAGGTGCTTTTCTGTGTATTTATAACAGAGTTTTTAACCCTCACAACAATTCTATGAGGTTGGGTGTTTGGTTATCCCTATTTCACAGATGGGGAAAATGAGGCAAGAGTGGCTTTGGGGGCTGCGGGGCTCGGTGTTCTGTGGTTTGAAGAAATCCCCTGACTTCAAACCCTCACTGGCTGCCCAGGGACAGCAGAGTTGGTGGGAGAAGGGGACAGGCCCTCCAGGCGTCCCCTCCTCTGCCCCCACACATCCCATCAGTCACCACAAGGCTCTTGAACTACCCAGACGAGAGACAATGGAGCCTGAATTAATATCTCGTCTAGATGGTCTCACCAGTTCTGCTTTTTCTGCTCTGTCAGAAGGATCCATCCAAAGCACAAATTGCAGCAAGCCCTTCCCCCTGCTTAAAGCCCTCTATGGCTCCCTATTGCCCTAGGGCTAAAGTCTGAGATCCTTATGTGGTGTAGAGAGCTGCCCTTGGAGAGCTGAGCCCCACTGAATTTGCAGGACAAGGTTTCTGTTCTTAGCAACAAGGCTTCAGTAAATACCCTTGAACTCTTTTCTCCATATGCAAGTGTGCTTCTATCTAGAGGATAAATTCCGGGAGGAGAGATTACTGAGTTTAAGATCGATCACATTTTGTAGGTTTTACTGACTGGCCCCACCATATGGTAGCACCGAGGGTGTGCATTAAAGTGCCTGTTTCCCCCAGGCCTTAGCCCTACTGTCCATGTAGGGCCACACACACACACACTCTCTCTCTCTCTCTTTTATATATTCGCCCCCCAGCCCCGTAACGCCCCCCACCCCCACGCACATAGCTCTTCCTCCACACGTCCCCTGTGGCTGAAGCTTCTCTCAGGCTCTGTCTGGCATTTTCCCCAG